CCTCCCAATAAGGTCGATGCACGATGGAAATTGGGCTTGTTACGCCCCCCAGACTCGAGGCGAATCTGATGATCCTCGCCATCTCGCCTACCCTTGATACGCGCAATCTGGACCGCGAACCGTCCGTCCACTTTTGTCACTTTCGAGCACTTGCTCAGGATGGGTTCGCAGACGTCTCAGTCTCCATTTCAACTTTTGACAATGTCCAGAGTCCAGACGACTGTCAGCCCTTTCGCATCGCGAGACTGAGCCGAATATCGAACGCTGGTGCCGCGATGACTGAGAGTCGAACGCAGACAGACCTGAAGCCAGTACTTCTTCCAACCCCACAGCAGAATACCCCGGCGCCGTTTCGGCATTGCTGTAACAATGCTTCTAGCTAGTACCACGGGCACCGTCTCGGCTTTCTGGCACCTCGCTCTGGCCCCACCGGTCCCGAAGGTCCTCCCACATTCCCGACGTGCCGACTTTCTCGAGTCTCGCCGCCTCGCACACGCCGCAGTTGGCTCATGTCAGGTCAAGTCATCAGCAGAAGACTCGGCCGCAACCAACCATCAGTGGGCGTGGGCTTACATAACGAGCTAAACCTTGCACTAGCTGGGCTGCTTAGTGGTTCACAAGTCCTCTTGTGCCGAGAATCAGGGTGAGCCGCTGCCAGACCACGCCCCGGCCAAGCGCGAACCATGACGTTGTGTAAACAAAAATAGAAAATATGTGCGCTCTGTTTCACCCGCGGCACCTTCACAACCACGACAGCCCACAAAGTCCCGGGAGCGAAATCCAGGACGCCTTGTCAACTGACAACCGGTTGCTTCCAAGAGCCAACTAGGGACCGCCGTAAACCCCAGTTCTCCGTTTCCGCGGCTGGTTCCTACTGGCCAGCTCGACGGCCCCAAATACCGACAAGGCTCTTTTCCCCTTTTAGTGTGGAAAAACGCCTTCGACGGACTATAACGGACAATAGGGGCTTCGGCATCAACAACCGCAACATTCGATGATTTCGACTACCAACTAGACATCACCCTTGACCTTAAACTCGAAAGAGCCGCTTGAAGGGGGCCCTGTCATCCCATGTTTCGATGCATAGTAGACACCCCGTACCGCACCATCAACCAACCCCTCTGATTCTCGCGGGAATGGCGTCGGTTTGATCGCCCACATCGGCGCATCACCAGGAGTCTGGAGAAGATCCAGGGAGGTGTATTCGTACATAGCTGTGGCACATGCGGGCCACGGTGACTGACAGACTGACAGACTTCAGAACGGTGGCGGCCCCTTCGACCTGGGGTTCTAGAACGTCAACTCTACATTCCTTGGCCCCCTACACTTTTCCCCCCTCATCGCGAAGAGCTGAACTCTAGGGTCCGATCATCCCGAATCTTATCAGTTATGGTATATCCACCTTACGGTTCGGAGCAAAAGCCTGTTCGATGGAAGGCTTGTTTCTGCTGATCGAAGATGTTCTCCCTCAGGTCATTTCGCTGACTGGACCTCCACCATGCATTTTCTTCGAGGGGTTCACTCTGAAATCGTTTTCTCAACCAGCACCGGACAATACATCCTCATACCTACTTAGGTGCTCCCACATTCCACGATATCTTGTTTGGAAAATCATCTCCACAATAGCAATTAACTTGTCCAAGCCGAAGACAAAGTCTGAACCATAAGGTAAGCAAAAAGCGGAGGTTGTCAGTCCACACTTGACGGCACGGTGGCAGTACGGATGCGTTCCGCCATCACGTCGATTCATGTGCTTCTTGTCCGGATATCATCCGCACAATGGCCCGCACGTATCCGTATCAAAAAGAGAGAAAAGAATGTTCCGCAGACAGGTGAGTGCAAGGGTGTGGCTGAGCCTCTGTCTCCACCATCTGCCGTGCCGGGCAAAAAAGTACCCCTGTCCAGTAAACAACCTTCACGACTCACGAGTCACGACTCGAGGTTGGCCTGAATCTGGCAAAATACTCCGTTCCGTTCGGGCCTAGCGTCGAGAGTACCAAGCATTTTTTTGCCAGTTATGGATGGGCGCCCCCCTTCTTCCCGTGCGGCCTGCGGCGCGGGTGCATGAGCCACTGCGAAAATAACGAGATTGTTGAACTTTGAGCATGCATTGTAATAAGGTAGTATCGAAATTTCAAGCGTTATCATGGTAGTGGGCAGGGCCATGACCTCGAGGTGAGCAGAGAGTCAGGAACTGCACGGTTATTGTCACCGAAATTTCGACTGTTGTCTCTCGAATGGTCGGCTAGTCAGCCAGGTGCTTCTTTCATTGCTGATATCAATATCCGACGAGCAAAATTCCGTCTCGCCTACCTGATGTCGTGCTCTTGAGCGAACAGGGAGCAAAGAAGTCTAGGGGCTTTGGACTTTCCGAGGAATTCGGGCTACGACAGGGTGGCCTGGATCTCAAGATACTAATCGAGAATGGTGACATTGACTTACGGTTCCATCTCGATAACCTTGGGTTAAGGTAAGTCGCCGTTGTAGCAACCCTGATTGACTCCATCGATAAAATGGTACGGCAGCCCTCTACTTAGCTGGTAAACATTGATTCACTCCAACGGCATCCAGCCAATCAGCTCGACATCAGGTCACAAGGTGATGATGGACTTTGGAACAATGTCAAGGGAAGAAATGAGGGATGAAAGAAGGGATTCTCACCACGCAACTCTGATCATTGCACGAATCCCAGTGTTTTCGCCACAAAAGTGAACATCACAGATGCCACAATAACTAGGATAGTTTGTTGGCAGGACATTATTAGAAACAGAGCCGCCCTATCAGAATCGAGTTTCCCCTGTAGATCCGACTTCAAGCAGCAGTCAAGAACAGGTTTTTTGTGGTGTCCGACAAGCCACAGGTCATAGTGACGGCTTGGTGATGTGCACAGCCACGCTACCCCTCCCTTGTGGCGCTTGAGAGTACAAGCGCCACACAAAGGTCAAGCCACGCACGTGATGATCTATCGGCTACCTCAGAGTTGGTTCCCTTTCCTTTGGAGTGGCAGATGTTACAAAATTTGGTGGAAGGGGAAGCTTGGCCCTGAGGGCTTGCAAGTCAGCTTCTGTTGAGTCTCTAAGCTCTTCCATGCTGTGGAAAGCTTCGCCATCCAAACTTTTCTTCACTCTGTCCGTTGACAGGATACGGATATTCGTCAAGACTTTCCCACTGGCAGGAAATTAGAGAGCACCTGGCGGGGTTGAGCCACATGTACGGATAAGCAAGTAAATGAAAAATACCCGTGTGAGTGTGGACGGATGCGTGTGCATGCTGCCCAATGCTCATGCGAGATCAGTGCAAAATAGACGCAGTCATCAGCTGGGAACCTTTTACTGGCCCTCGGCCTCGGTGCGTCTCAACCTATTTGTCTCTACCGAATCCGTGCTTTTCCCCCGTCCCCTCTCTCCTTGCGAGGAATAGACTTCCCGAGAGTTACTCAGAGCATTATGCCGTCGGGAGGTCGAAGAGGAGGGGTAACAAATGGAAGGTACTCCCTTCCGCCGCCACGGAAACCCAAACTTCTAAGCACGAAGTGTACAAAGTGGGATGAAAAGGCTTGGTGAAGCTTAGCGGACGCAATTTGGATTCTTGCTATATGAGAGAGAGCAAAAAGAAGGGAGCTTCATTATATATGGGTTTCCTGAGGTAGGGAGGTCAGCACTAAGGTAGTGAAGATCTGAGCCGTAGAAGGAAGTCACAGGCATGTCTTTTTCATCTGAAGGAACGCCAGAGTGGACGATGTTATTTTCCGTATTGGTTGGAAGACCGGATGTCGAGGCCGAGCTTCCGTCCATTTGCCGATACTTTTGGACGAGTTCACAGTTAAAGGAAGTGTGCTTAGTGATTCTGCCGATGTTGAGCAGCTCGAGGCGGGGGAGAGGAAAGTTGATGGCGAATATTGGGATGCCTCGGCATAAGATAATGACTTTGATATGGCGCAGAGCTACGGAGATTGTGGGATGGTGGTTATTGGTCAAGAAGGGATGCTCAGCGCTTTTCTGTTTTGAGAAGGTTATGATGGCCCTGCTCTATTGCTCTTGGAAGCGTTGGAGGTTGTCAAGGCTTATTTTGGAATATCCAGCGACTACTCTCATGTTGTGGTTGGCCCACTCTGCGATCTTTGGCACGTCAAGTATTTCATAACTTGCTATGATGTCCTAGTATTCACAAGACAAGTGGAGGGAACTTGTTCTATCTACTGCACTAGAACTTCCAGAACAATATACAAATACTCACAACTGGAATCAAACAACAAACGTATAACAAGATTTGAGCTATTAAGTCAAAGCTTCGAAACCACGTCTTGTTCGTTGAGAACAGGCCTCGATGGCTAGTTGCTTAGCAGTATCACTTGGGCGCAATGCTCCTTAATTTCCAAATATGTCACCTTAGAGTATCATTTAAGTCGACAACTTAACTATGTAATAGACTGAAGACAAAGGATACGAAGAACACCATTATCATCACATCAGTATCTCCCTTTAAAAATGCACGTCAATGTCTGTGGAATTGCAAAATCTAAGCCTGCAGTGTGTATAATGAAACCACAGCAAAGCACCTGCTTGTAGACCGGAAGCATTTCTATCGGAGTCTCTGGAAACTTTGTATCTCTACAGCACCTAAGGCGAGGAAGACCTGCTTCGCATATTGACCCAAGGCGTCCTGTCGAGTCAACGGCTGACACGCTTGAAGAAGGTGTTGCACGGCGCTGCCGTGATTTGGAACCTGACCGGTTAGCAATGCCACTGCCCAGTCACCCATGCCGAGGTCATCTCCGATTGCACCTTACATGTAGAATTAGGTAGACTGTGAATAAACAAACCCACCTTAGGCTGAAGGGCATTTAACCTTACTAGTTAGTACATGTATCTACATACTTGGTCCCATCAAATAAGGCAATAGAGCAGGAAATCGAGACAAAGCCGGTGCGAGCCAATTGCCAGTAAAAAAAGTCACTCTAGACATCTGTGACCCTCTGATATCTCTTTGCTTTAGTGTATTTAAGATACCTTTGATTTAATTGCACTTCCAGCCCCCGCGACAACATCAAAATTGCTCCAGTCCTTGGTGCCTTCGTGGCATTCTTTAAGATATTGCGGAATACCACCAAGATAGTTTAGTTGTTCCTTTTTCTTGCCGGGAATATTCCCTCCCACGTACCAGGATGTATCGCTCTTGCTAAAAAGCAAAGCCTCGTGTATTGCCTGTACTGTTTTCTTCCAGTGCTCTTCAGCTGAACGACGAGGCTCAATGAACGTGATATTCTCCGTGCGGAGCTTGACTAGGAAGTCCATAATAAAATCGACTTGCTGCTCGATGAACACCGGCGCGTTCGTCAAAGCTGTAGGAGCTGTTTCAGTTGCCGTCAGTCACTTGAAGTCTTTTAGAAAAGGTATTAAGACTTCGTGCTTACCTTGCGGCCCGTATATCATGAACATGTTCGGACATCCTCGAGACATCAAGCCAAGGTACGTCCAAACGCCCTGTCTCCACCTCTCTTTCATGTCGATGCCGTCCTTTCCACGGAGTCTCATGCTTGTTAAAGCTCCGGTCATACTGTCGTAACCCGTCGCTAGCACAACGATGTCATGCTCTCTCTCCTTTCCATCTTCGGTCACGATACCACGCGCTGTCCATTCGCGGATGCTCGTCTTCTTCACATCCACCACTTCCACATTATCCTGGTCCATGCATTCGTAGTAATCCTGCTCCAAGCTGCTTCGTTTCGTTCCAAATGGAAATGGTTGTTTGTCAGGCACCAATATGGCTCGCTTCTCCGGGTCCCGCACCCGGCATTTGGTTTTCTTTGTCCAAAACTCGTAGATTAAATCATTTGCTTCAGCGTCCAGCAAGAAGTCCGTATACTGGCCTGTTTGGAAGTTGAAGGCCCCTCGCTTCCATAGCTCCTCCCACCATGCCTCTCTTTCTTCCGTTGTTGTTTCCTTTGTGACCTGGGTAGGTCCATCGCACGGTAGACCGGCACTACTATCCCTCGCCAACTTGAAAAGTGTTTTGTATATCGCTTTCAAGCTGTCCTGCTCGAGTCCCGAGATTTCGCGTTGACGCATGGGTAGCGCAATGTTGACGTTGCGTACGTAGACTGTCAGCTCTACGCCAGGCTGTTTGGCAATTTCTTGCACACATTGAACTCCCGTCGCACCTGATCCAATGATGGCAACTCGTCTATTCTCAAGATCGATCCCGGAATCAGGCCATGCCGCGGGGTGTACAACTATGCCTTTGAAAAGGTCCTTTCCTGCGAATTCGGGCTCATATCGTTTGATTGAACTGCCTGTCGCCGGAATCAGGAATCGTGACGTGATGATGCGTCCTGTATCGGTCTCGATGATCCACTTGGCTGTCGCCATATCGAAGTCGGCCCCAACCACAACAGTATTGTAGGACACGTCCTTAGAGATGTCAAGAACTTTGTCGACGTGTGTGAAATATCTCTTCAGCTCCTCGTGCCCCGGAAAGCGTTGCGACCATGTCCAGTCTTTCCAGACTTCCCGCAACGAAAGCTGATAATAAGGCGTCTCCGAGTCAACTCTTGCCCCGGGATAGCTGTTCCGCTGCCACACACCGCCGAGGGCCGATCCAGCTTCCACAATGTGTGCCGAAAAATCCGACTGGCGCAGCTGGTGTAAGGCATAGCATCCTCCAAAGCCGCCGCCAATGATCAGAACATCGTAATCCATCTTTCTGTAGCTGGTATCATTGAAGTATTTCGGTTCGGTGATGATTGAGGTGATGGGTAGACCCCATTATCACCAACTCAGTCTTGAACCTTGAAGCCGAACAAATTGAGTCAGGATTGGGACGAAAGAGTCAGGAACATTTCGAATTCGAGCAATGCGGAAGGTCTGCCGACTCAGGAGGGGAGATCTGTTGATTTATGAGCCGACAAGCGTATGGTCCAAAAGATCAGACGGGGTTTTGGGTTCAAGCAGGAGGGGAGATGAAGCTGATGTGCGGCATTAGGCCCGCCTCGGTCGCCTCGGCATGCTCTGGCGACAACAAAGTTCTCTTCTTCGCAATTTATCTTGCTCTGCCGTACTCATAAGCAATTGATGAATGGTGCAAGCCTGCCATTGTTGAATCTTTGACGATGTTTACGTCGTACTTGAAACGATCCCCGCACTTGCAACCTGGCCAGCGTTGCAGTCGATGTCATGGGCTAGACGGGCCTAGATCTCTCGGGAATGTCGATGCTATTACCGTGTCCTCCCGGTGAATAATGCGTGGTTCCAGCCAGGATACAAGGTCGGCATGTGTATAATCCTGTTAGTTGGAGGCTTCAGGGCTCGACCGAGTGAGCTTAAGGATTGGTCTCTCCGAGAATATAGGCCGTTTGATGTGGCATTCAACCGAAACCCCAAGACCTGTCGATGCAACGAGAAAGAGCATTTCTAAGTAGTTGACTTCGTATTGCATACCGTGATATCGTAGAATGCAATACTAGGTTCATCTGCAAGCTCGCTCAATCGTTGCATGGATTCATTCACATATATTAGTCTATAATGTGTGCCCAAATACATCACGTTCAAATATCGACTGGAGCAAGGTTAATGTTTTAACGCTATGTCATCGATTATTTCGCCGGGGGGGAGGGGGGGAGTAGGAGACTATGGACGGCCTCCCGCCGATATTATGTGCATGTCACTGGTAGTTTCAGCCCAAGAATGAAGCCTTTCGTGGCTAGAAACTCCTCTCACTACGAATGTAATTGGTCGGAGCAGCTAGCAGATTTCAAGTGATGGCTTTCAGCCTCATTGGACCGAATGTTCGATACCTAGAGCTTCATGTCGAGTACTGAGCACATCGAAATCCCAGGTTACGTTAGCGGCGCCCGGGATATGAGAAGAATAGCAAGATGCATGCTAGAATTCTAAGAAAAATAGAAAAAAAACCAGCTGATGATATGAGACTTATCGCGTGGCTTCCACCTGGCCTGCACTGTTTACCTTGGAGTCCTACAAGTCGCATCACACGCCTGGAAGAGCCTTCCAGAGAAACCGAAAGCAAAGTCTGCTTTCTCTTCGTATACTATACAGTGCAAGATAAGGTAGAGGCAAGTGACGCTTTCTCATTTCTCAAGTGAATGACGCCCAGGTTGAAAATGGATGGTGCATCCTTTGATGTAATGAGCGGCTGCGTGCTGCGGGAGGCCTACCGACCTTAGCCCTAACGCAACCAACTGATTCACTATTTTGAGCCCTTTGCGTAAATGCACAGCCGTAAAGGTTGAAATTCTTTCTATTTCTGAAATCCTGAAAACTTCTTCTTCTTCTTCCTCACTCTCCGGAAAGCGGCGACCTCTCACAAGCCAGACCATTAGTGCCTGACCTGGCCGCTTGCATTGATTGATATCGCCGGCGATGGCGTCCTCAGACGACATTATCATGGATTCTCTGCAGGAATGGAAGCAGCGTCTGAGCCCCCTTAGAGTCGACATCGTTGGCGATTTTGCTGGGAAAGAGCTGTTTACCATCCATGGGGAATCCTTGGTGGCTCACTGTCTCGCCTCTGCAAATGTCGACTATCTTGGTGGGCATCTCCAGATACCCCTTCGAATGCGTTCACTACCTACCTGGTCTTGGCTAACCGATGACACAGCCGGCTTTCAACTACTTCATGCCGTACATGCGATCGAGGTTTTCCTAGCCAAACTCAAGGAGCGGGGTTGCAACTTCCACGTCCTGTGGTTTGACAGTCACCAAGACCTAGCGACACCACCTGATTCTCCCAAGAATAAATCATACAAATACCTCTTGACGCGTGCTGTCATCATTGAGCACCTGCGATGCCCTGAACCACATCCCAAAATGAGTTTCGACGATCGCGGTATCGACTCTCCAATGAGCTTCGTGTTCCCTTCCATCACGAGCCCCGAGTTCTTGTCGTACACCAATCAGCACCGCTTTCACTTCGTTATGATGGCCCAAGGCAGGTCTTCAGATCTTGACACGACCAGAGAGGGGAAATTCTTGAACGTTATGTATCTGTTCGATCTTCGCGGCTACAGCTTGGCTTTCATTGACGACATCGAGTTTCGAAGCTCAAAGGTAAAGTTTCCGTGCCACCTTTGACAACAGATCACAGCGCGCTAACATAATCCCTTAATGGCAGGCATATACTCTCATTGCAACAGCTCCGACCTCAATGACAGTGATACCAGTCACAGAGCCAACACCAGCGACGAAACCCGATCCCGGTTACCGACGGACTATCGAACGTCTCCATGCCATACCCAAGCCCAGTGAGTGGCGAGTGCTTCGATCTGACGGTGAAATCGAGGCCCAGGAAGAAGTAGCGGTCACTGCTTGCGCAGTCTTCTTGTCTAACAAGGCCTCCTCGGATGTACACAGTCACAGACTAGTGGCCGCCTTCCTCTCACACATCGCTCTGCTGAAGCACGCAACGCTCTTACAACGACCCGTGGAGACCCCACACAGACTGGAGAGTTCTTCGGGCATCGAGGAGTTCCTTGCGACTTTTGCTGAAGTAGCAGTTCACCTGATGCAGCAATGGCCCAGGGGAAAAGAAGGACAATACCTCAATTGGAGAGTTTGTGATCTCGTTGACGGTCGAATCTACAGTCAAGTCTTGGCGAGACTCGAAACACTTAGACTCCCAAGTGATGCCGGGTCTGGGTATGCAGAAGCTGTACGGCGATTGTCCGGCGTCGACGTATCCTACTGCATGCCAAATTCCGTTCCACAGATCAAAAGTGGCGCAGGAATACACTGCATCAGCTACCAGTCCCCCGACCCACAGTCGATCCTTGCATTCAGCCATCCCGTGTTGGACAAGTATCTGGAAGACGTCAAGTTGACAAGCCAATCCGTGATGGAGGATGAAAGCTCTGAGTCCAAAATCTTTCAAGAGCTCTCCCACTGGCACAATTCGAAGAAGAGCATTGACCCCAAGCATGTACCAAAGCGTCGAGGATTCTTCGCGAGCAAGAGGAACCAGAGATATATGGCCGACACGATTGCCTACTCTGCCAGCCTTACTAATTCTGCCGGGAAAAGTATTGACCCTGAGACGATTGTCGCCAAGAAGACAGACCTTTCTGCCGGGTCCAAGAAGCAAGTGGGCACAACCCGAAGACAAGATCATTCGATCAAGAGCGGTACAGAGAATGCACTTGAAACAGCGAGGAGATTGAGAAAGGCGAAGAGTCAATCCAGGACCGCGGTAATCATCAAGAACTGGGCAGAGAAATGCCAAGACTTCGACAAGATCACGTCTGTTTTTGAACGCTACTTGAGGGTCAAGAGGTATTTATCAAGTCTTTCTCCAGAGGACCAGAAGTCTATCGGTGGCGAGGTAATGTTGTACATGTGCAACATCCTTGGCCTCCAACTTATTCGCAGACCGTTGAAAAAGGCTTTCAGCGATTCAGGTATGAGCAAGCGTGGATTTGATTTCTTGGTCTCTATTTTTGACCTCATCGTTCTAGAATCGAGTATACTGGCAATGATCTGGGCCCAAGTCAGAGAGATGACGTCGTTGCCCCTTTCCGTTGAGACGAAACACCAGGTCCAATATTTGATGAAGGCTTTGAAGTTTCCGCTGGGGGAACTTCGATGCGGACCTTCTGTGCCCGTCAAACATCGTCTTCCGTTCGTCTCAACGTATGAAGTGTCAACCACGCATCTAGGAGTCCAGTCAACTGGTCTCGAGTTTCAGTTGGCTCACTGTGGCCCTTATCTGGAGCGAAGCTTCGATTCCGCCGCCGACCCGCGCGTTTCTTTCAGTCCAGATGCCTGGCAACGAAGCGTACTTGATGCCATTGATGGCGATAAGAGCCTTTTCGTCGTCGCTCCAACGTCCGCCGGAAAGACCTTCATTTCGTTCTACGCCATAAAGAAGATTTTGCAGAACAACGACGATGACGTTCTCGTTTATGTAGCCCCCACCAAAGCACTCGTCAACCAGATTGCCGCGGAAGTTCAGGCTCGATTCTCCAAGTCGTATCGTCATGAGGGCCGGTCAGTTTGGGCCATTCACACTCGAGACTATCGCGTCAACAACCCCATCGGCTGTCAGGTTTTGGTGACCGTTCCGCACATCCTCCAGATCATGCTCCTGGCGCCTAACAACGCGCAAAATGAGAGATCCTGGGCTCGCAGAGTGAAGAGAATTATCTTTGACGAAGTGCATTGCATTGGCCAGGCCGAAGACGGCATCATTTGGGAGCAACTATTGCTTCTTGCTCCTTTTCCTATCATCGCCCTATCTGCTACAGTGGGCAATCCCCTCGAGTTCAAGGAGTGGCTTGCAGGGGCCCAGAAGGCTAAGGGCTTTGACCTTGAAATGGTCGTTCACTCAGCCAGATACTCTGACTTGCGTAAATTTCTGTATCAGCCGCCCTCTGAACTGGAGTTTGAAGGACTAGAGCCAGTGGAGCGTATGCCAATCCCCGGTTTGGATGCTGAAGCAGGGGAAACCTCGCGTTTCATGTTTGTGCATCCAGTCGGAAGCATTATCAACAAGTGAGTCTTCATACAAACTTCATGTGGTCTTGCCAAATTCTCAACACCACCTTTTACTCATAATTGATTGAAACCCAGGAATCGCGAGACTCTCGAAGATGCAAGTCTCGAGCCACGCGACTGCCTCCGACTTTGGCTGTCCATGAAGGAATATGAGAACGAGTCGTATGTTATCAATCCTAGCCTCGAGCCCAACATTGCGTTGCCAGAGTTGGTGAAGAAGT